CCCAATGTCGTGTCGTCTTCTTGAAAAACTGGACTGCAAATAAAAACTGGAGATCGAATCAAACACTGTTTCTCATAGGCTCAAATATCTTGTCCATCTCTCCCTCTCGCACACACTAATCTGCATATGTTGTGTCTCTCTCAGCCAGAGACAAGCAAACCACCTCCTGAGAAATCACAGACCAGTTTTGAGGAACAGAATAAGAGCGGCTCAGCCAATCACAGCTCAAAGACAGGTGACATCACTGTGGTCGAGGTCGAGAAAAATGGCGACTATATCTGTCTGAAAAACACTTCCAGTGAGGTACTGCTGCTTGCATGCTGATGAACAATGAGTACTACCTAAACACAAACCACATGTTCCATGTATTCAGAAATATTTAAAAAGGTCCTTTTCACTTATGTGGACGTAACACACTCATTGATAAACACTTTGGATTTAACACACACTGAACTTTATTATTGCCTCATTCATTTTCCCCCTTTTTTATTCTCTTGTTTTCCTTTTACAGAATAAACTTTTGTCAGGTTGGAAGTTAAAACTACAGATCAACAACAGAGAAAGTGCCACATACGAATTTAAAGAAAACTTTATACTGAAAGCTGGAGAGACACTCCTTGTGAGTCTCTGTGTTACTAGATTTTTCGTTCAGTCTCTCTTATTGTTACTTTTCACTTGAACATCTGTGACCTTTTTATTGGTTACATTTACAGTTACGGCAAGATGCTGTCAACAAGCCAATTAAAACTGATGCTGACCTGCTGTGGATGAACATGGTCAACTGGAACACTGGAGACGACGTGAAGATCGACCTCATCAGCAACACTGGAGAAGAGCAGATGCTGTTTAAAAACAAGATCATGTAAAATAATCAGAGTTACTTTTCTGAGGGATAAATTAAATGAGAGCATTATTACATTTTATATATTTCATATCATTTTAAGTCAGTTAAAAATTTTGTGTTTTTATTGAATTAAAAATATGTAAATAAAAATATCTTTAAAAAGGAGTCTTTATTATTTTGAGGTGCAACACAAATGTGGACACACGATGTGGACAAACATGAGACTTTGCTTTTTCTAGAGCTGAGGGTGCATGAGTGAAAACTTGAAAACAAGATCTCTCTTTATATTTTACTTGGAAAAGTGATTATTATTATTTTTTAACATAAGTCACAGCGACCACTTCCTAGTTTAGACTATTTGCATTACAGATGTAATTTTTGGTTTTTCATCCTTTATCACAGATTATAGAACAGGAGGTGTTTTGTAGTTAGTATAGTTAACACTCTTCCAAGGTCCTGAGAAATTAAACGAATAACTTCGGGATAAGGATGAGGCCTTACCCCATACCCAACTAATTGGTGATGAAATGTGAAGTTACAATTCTTTTCCATAAAAAAGCATTTTTATTTTGTATATAAATAAATGTTGATGTTGTGCGATGGGGTTGTGTGCCTTAATTTTACTCATAATTTGCCAAATCACTACAACAGATGGCTCAAGACAATGCCGTCCAGAGTAAGGATCTTGTTAGCCACAGTGTTTCTAAGAGTCTGTTCCAAAATTTGAATGTACGTGTGTTGAAGGTGCGACTCTCATTGAATTATTAAACATATTTCCCTTTAATTTCTGAGCCACAAAAACAACAACTTTTTATTTTCTTCTGCTTATGTATCGGCCTCGGGTAGCTCTACTTATCATTGCTGATTCAGTTGTCTGTTTGTGCTACTTTTTCAAGGAGCAGTCGATTATTGGTAAGGGTGACTTTATGTGTTTAGTTACTTAAGTGGAAGGACTGTGGAAAGTTTTACCTTACATACATACATCTGGCAGTACAGCTTCTGAGGTAACTGTTTACAAGATGTTGTATCCTATTCAAAAGTTCTTTGCAATTTTACATTGATAAACATTATCCTTAACATATTTGACCCCCATAAAGTGCTATGGCCATCACACTGTCATTTAGAATTGTTT